CCAGGCTCTGGGGGAAGCTGTAGTGAGGGCAGGAGGTAGAGCCAAGGAATGGCTCTGAGCATCTTCCATAGTTTCTTATAACTGAATTCTGAAACTCTGAATCCACACAGTCTTTTCTCCAGGGTATTTAAACTCTGAGGTCAATTTTCTGCAAGTGATAAATTTTTCTATCCAACCAAATGGAAGAGGCAGAAACGTTTTTTTTTTAATTGAATTCTCTCTGACCTACAGGTTGTTGATTTTGTTATCCTCTCTCCCAGTTGTCCTTGATTTTATAGGACTTTCAGATTATTCAGATATCCTGAAGGAATACAAATCTGCCCATCTCTGTTTACCTCTTCATATCCCTAGGAGGAAGCAGTTGGTGTATTTTCTCTGCAGTTGTTTTATCATCAGGGAGGCTTGTTAGACATAATTTGATTTAATATATAACAAATGACAGAAATCATTTCAGATTCTGAAAAGATATTTGGTCTATGGCCATACTACCCTGAATGTGCCTGATCAAGTCTGAAAAGACATTGGATCCATTCGGAGACTTAGATTTGCTTTTAAAAAATCTGTCTTGTCTTATTCTGGAATATGAACCATTCTTCCGCCTTTAGTGTTCCCAGCCTTCCCTTGTTTACTCTCTATTTTTAACTTCTAATTCTAATTATGATACAAATTGCATTCACATCAGAGAATATGAGATTGTAAACCCTAATTATTTTTAAACTGTTTTCTTTCTTTAATTTCTGCATCTATTATCTCTGACATATAGAAATGCCACACACAGTTCTCCCACATTAGCCAGCCAGTGGTCTGCTCAAGGTCATGATTGCATCCCTGGATGAGGGGGTGAGTCAACCGTCATGTCTCCCTGCGAGAGCGAAGTTTCAGGGCAAGGGATGAGGCTCACTTTCCTCCTGTGACATAAAAGTAGCTGATTGCAAGAATTTTCAAAAAATGTTTGGCTGGTGTTTTCTACTGTCAAATATGTAGTGTCTTTCAGTACCAACAATCAATTCTTCAGTACCAACCCCTATTTAATTCAATTCTGACATTGTTTACCTTGAAGTTAACAGCAGGGTCCACAAGTTCAAGTGCTCAGTTCCATAGGACTGCCCTCACTTCAGACACCTGTTGTAAATGGGGTATCCAGGTACTCTACTTCCACTGGCTGAGTATGAATTCAGGGGTTCCCATGACCTCCTTCCCCCACCCCTCCCCTGATGGAAGAGACACAAGGCACCTATGGGAGGGGCGAGGAGCTTGCATGCCCTCTCCAGATGTCCAGTTTCCTTGCAGGCTGTGCCTACTGACCTGGAAGCTCTTTGACCCCTGTTGTTCAAGCCAGCTTCCAGCCCCATCTCCCTGGAGATGGTATGAGATGAGTTTGAAAGTTCCCATCCTTTAATCTTGTGGTCAACTTTCTGGAGGCCAGTCCCCATCCTGAAGCTTCTTAGAGGCCCAACCCCAAGTCACTTCAGTAGCAGGAACTTGGGATTTCTTTTTAAAAGAGGTATTCCTATCACTCAGGAAATTGCAAGGGTTTTAGGAGCTCTGTGCTAGAAAAACCCAGTATTTTCTTATACCATAATTTGTTTTTGGCCGTACTGAAGTTTTAACTCAGGGGCTTGCACTGGCTAGACCAGTGCTCCACCACGTGAGTCACACCTCTAGCCCTTTTTTGATTTAGTTATTTTTTGAATAGGGTGTCACAGTTTTTTTTTTTTTCCATGAACCAGCCAGGGACCCTGATCCTCCCACCTATGCCTCATAAGTAATTAGAAGTACAGCTGTGTATTTTTTGAGGTGGGGATCTTGCTAACTTTTGCCCAGAGTGGCCTCAAGCTTGGATCTTCCAGATTTCCACCACCTGAGTAGCTGGGATTATACCACCAATTCCCCCTTTCCATGTAATGTGCACGCACACACGCGCACACACACGCACACACGCACGCACACAGACACACACACTCGCACGCGCGCGCGCGCGCACACGCACGCACACGCACGCACACACGCGCACACAGACACACTCACACGCACGCACGCGCGCACACACGCACACACACGCACGCACACACACTTGAAAGGTGTCAGTGTCATAGAAGGGTCTGGACTCCAGCAGTGCCTCCTTCCTCCCTGTGTGTCTCACTTACAGCCCACACTCTCTTGCCTTGAAGAGTTCATGAGAAGGAATCTCACATGTGAGGGGAATCAGGGAGCATTGGTATTTCTGGGTTCATGGCTGCTTTCTTTCAGGTGATTCCATATGGAAAACATGCCAGGTGCTGCCTACAGAAATCTTGCCCCCTACCACTGCCCACAAGGGACCTAAGGTCTGACTGAGAGCAAACACTTGTACTTTCTAGAACTTGACTGTTCCAGGTCTTATTCCATATTGTTGGCCCTCTTTCTTCAACACCTTTGATTGCAACTCAGTTATTAGAGTTACTACAGCCCTTGTGTCCTGTATGACTTTGTAAAATAGAGGAATCTCTCTGTCTGTCTGTCTCTCTCTCTTTAAGCCATCATTTATCACTTGCCTGTGAGTACCACATGGTTTTTCCCTGATGCTGCACGCAGACTTATTTCATCCATGTCATCCTTACAACACCATTCTATGGGATTCTGTACCGACTAGGAAATTGCAGCTCAGTGAGGGTGATTTCATCTACTCAAATTCACACGGCAAGTCTCTATCAGAGGCTTGGTGCAAACCCAGGTCTGTCTAATTCCAAAGCTCCCTACAACCAACCCCACCCTTCTGGCCTGTGGGTCAGGTTGGTAAGGGGTTGCAATTTGAGCAGACAGCAGCACCCTCAGGGACGACAAGTGGTCCACACTGCTGTGGTGGCTAGCTTGCCAGTGTAGAGAACCAGCTCTGGAACAGCCCAAAGATCACTTTGCTTGAGGATACATTATGCAGTTGAGTTCTTTCTCAGTGACAGAGTCCAAAGATTGAGTGCTGTGAGCCTTGGTCTCCTTTTGTAAATGAGAAGAGTTGTCACATGGACATACTTGGATTGTGGTAAGCAGGGACACACACGCAATACTGAGCAGGCAAAATGGCAGTGATGTCACCTGACCAGCTCATGATTCTGTGGGGCATCACAGCTGAGGGTGTAGATGAGACAGGAGGAGATGTGGAGAGTTGGGAAGGCAGGAGGCAGCTCTGGTGCCAATAAGTAAATCTGTCTAAGTTTGACCAACCTAGCAGCCTCTTTCCCTGCCCCTGACCTCAGTCTAGAAGATCCTGTTATATCTGCCGACCTTCAAGGGCATTTCAAAGAACCCTGCTGCTGCAGTGGGGCATAATAGTGGTCACTATGACTTGCTCTGTGGTACTAGTGACCATCTTGGAGAGACATCCCAGGGTGAGATAGAAGATGGTAGTTAAGAAAGCACGGGAGTTGGGCATGGAAGGGCTTAGTGCCCAGAACAATAGAGAGGAGGGAAGGGTGGCAGAGCCAGGGTGTCCAGCAGGCTATGGCAAACATGGCTTGGCTGGTGCCCAGGTGCTCCTGGAAAACACTTGAGGAAGACCAGCCCTTCCTCATTGTTCTGCTCCCCCAATTTCCCTCTCTAATCAGCAACCCCAGCAGGGCAGGCTCAATCCTGAATGCCCCAGTTGGTGTTTCTGCTTGCCCTGTGTTAACATAGCCTCATTCTCTGAGGCCCCTGGTTGTAAAATGATGGTGTTCACCTGCAGAACCCCTCTTGTCTGACTGCAGCTGCTTCTAGATCTCGGATAACCTTTGTTATCTGCCTCTGCAGACAATGGTCAGATCTCTGGGACATGCCCTTCCATCCCTTGTTGCTAATATCAATAGTTTTAGATCCACAATGTCTCATCTGCAATTCCTGAGTCTCAACAGCCTTGAAAATTTGTTTTCCAGTTCTTCGATGTTGTTTTATAATTCTGCATCAAATTCATGTATCTGAAATCACACTGAAATTGATGTGCAATTGAAGCATTTATTTGTCTTAGTATAAATATGTATGTAAGCTTTGAGGCAGAAATAACAATGCATTTGATTTGAGTGCACCACCCTGGTGCCACCTGGAGGTATAGTATTATGTATTTTTGTAAATCTTGGACAGTCTGAGCTCCAGAACTTGGGTGGTCCCAGAGGGACTCAGTAGAGAGTACTGATTATTGTGTACTGCTGGTTCCAAACCTGCCAACCTTGGGACCTTGGTGCGTGATGCTTGTTTTCTGCAACTGCAGATTGGGGTCCAGTTTATATGGTCTCTGCAGAGCTTTGCCCTTGTAAGGGCCTCTGAGTGCCTGATCCTGGGAGGGAGGATCCCAGTCTCTGGCCTTCCTCTAGCCAAGATTACTGGAGAACCTAAAGGAGGGCCTGACTCTGAGGTCATGTGTTTGTGAAGACTTCCAAAGGACTCTTTATTTAAGAGTCCTTGCCAGCATCCTCATTTCCCCACTCCATGTCCCACCACCCAGGCCTGGGTTTGCATTGTTGGGTTGTGGTGTCAGAAGCATGGTCCCTGCAACAAACAGAATTCACATCTAAAAATTGGGCCACTAGAAGTTGCTGAGAGTTTCCCATACAGCTGCACAGTGCTGTTTATGGAAAAAGAATGCACCACATTTCCACAGCCTGAAATAAGTGAATTTGCTTTTTCAAAATATCTTTCTAATGAAAATTCGGAAAGCAGAGCAGTTATTCATTTGGCTGGAAGTAACCCATGGCTGCGGGAGGAAAAGACCCAGGGGTCTGCAGCTGCGCAGAATAAGCTTTAGTGCTGCCATCCAAATGTGGCCATGGTGACGGCAGGGCCTTAAATGAGATTTTTATACTATTTGTGATCTGTTTTGGAAGGAATTATTTGATCCCCATTTACCTTATATTTTATAGATAACAACTCAGTTATTTAAATAAATGGCTGGAACTCTTTTTTGGCTTTGAACTTACCTACTAATCTCTTACAAGAAATAGAAGTAGGCCAGGAAGCGAAGTGCTACTAATACCATTGTCTGTGTGTGTCAGTCTTGGACAGATCACTATTTACAGTGGAATACATCAGAATATCCGGGCGTGAAGAATGTTCGTTTCCCAGATGGTCAGATTTGGAAACCAGACATTCTTCTCTATAACAGGTAAGCACTTTGGGCAAATAGGAAAATGATTTAATGCTTGCATGTATGTAGAAATTAAGCATCTTGGGGCATTTTACAGAAACACTGGATATATTATCTGTAATTTGGAACTATTGTTCCTTGTGAGACCTGCCCAGTGGTCAGACCTTTGGGCATCAGCTCTTAACACCCTCTGCTGGTATTTTCTGTGTTTGCATGCAAGCTTGGGTTGTCCTGCATGCTACCAAGATGACCCTATAGGTGGTGCACACTGTTGTTGGGGCCTGAAGCATTTTTGCATGGGGTAGGACTGTTGCTCTCTGAATGGCTGGCAGCAGTTACAATCAGCAGCAGAAGGTGATGGCCCAAGAGATATCAGCTGGAGTCCATGGTTTAGACCTATGTCTTCATTTGAGTTGTTCCTCATTATACATTGGGAGAGTTCTGTCATAAAGATGGGGACTATCATCTCTAGCTGCTCAAGGAAGCATGCCTTGCAGGTTGTTTACAGCCTAAAACAGTAATGTAATGCCAGTAACTACCATGTTATTTGCAATAGTCTTTCTCCTGAGGGCAAGACATAAGGGATTCATCCATAATCTAGGCAGTTTGATTTGAGGATCACATACCCAATGGGCAAGTATGGGTAAATTTTAGAAGCAGTAAAATTTTTTATTAAGCCATAGCCAAATAAGGGATCCTAGAATATCTCTTCTGTATTCTAAATGGTGATGAGCAGCTTAATATAAAAGTAAGTTTTTTTCCTCATGATGGCTGCCATCTTTGGTCCCATTAGAGGGAGCAAGATGCCTAGTCTTTCCTGACTCCAAGAAAGGTTTGACCATCTACCACTGACCTACATGGTCACTCCATGATTCCCCCTGGGCCAGCTGACGTGTCTTTCCTGTGCTTACTACTTCCAGAAGCTTAGGAAATTTAGTTTCTTCTATCTACTTTGAATTCTTCTGTCCTTGCTGCTGGGGTCATATTTCCCTTGAATGACTAGGCCTTTCTGTAGAAAACAATCCCCTTCTCGTTTGCTGTTGTTCTCTGCTTTTAAGTTCAGACAACTGAGTGTTGAGAAATGCCAAGTGGCCCATGATTGAATGGATGAAGCACATGAGCTTCTGGGTGGATTGTGGGTCCTTTGTTTCCTAGGATGCTGTGTTGGTTTGCTAAGGCTGTTGTAACAGAACATACAGACCCAGGGGCTTAACCAGCACCCATTTATTTGCTCATAGTTCTGGAGGACAGAAGTCTGAGATCAAGGTGTGGACAGGGTGGGTTTCTTCTGATTGTGTCTGCCTGGACATCTTCTCCCTGGGTCTACACAATCCTTTCTTCCCTGTGTGTCCTAATGTCTTTTTCTTATAAAGATACCAGTCAGATTGGATCAGTGACTAACTTGGTGACTTCGTTTACTTTAATTACCTGTTTATAGGGCCTATCTCAAAATATCTGAGATACTGGAGGTTAGAATTTCAACATAAGAATTTTAGGGAAAAACAATTCAGACCATAACAGTTACATTTATAGTTACCTGTGTAAGAGTTGGACACTAACCGCAGTGTACATTTACCTGGGGTATAAATTTTATCCATAATATTTCCTGTCTCTTCAAACTTTAAGTCTCAGATTTGTCCATTGCAAAAAGAGAGAAATGCCAAATTCACAGAGGTAGGAAGGAGAGCTCTGTGGGTGTGTAGCATGCCTCATGTGGAACCTGGCAGAGGGTCAGTGTCCAGAAATAACAGTTGTGTTTTTAGTTGTGATGAAGATGATGTCTGCTTATAGTGAGGTGGTAATCAATGTGCTTCACAGTTCCCAACTTACTTTCTTCATCTGCAATTGAGAATAAATTTTGTAATGTGGTAGAATCTCAATAATGATGCTATAAGAAATGGGTTTTATGGTTATGTGGAAGACTGTTAACTCCAAAACATAAAATGTTTGATGATCCCTGGCTAATGAAGAGTTACTAATTTTTCTATATAATTGAATTTCAAGGAACAAAGAGGCATCAGTATCTGCATGACATATGACACCAGTAGTGATGCTCCCTCCTCCATGTCTGACTTCCTATTTCTTCTTCTTTAGCAAACTTCCAATTTCTTCTTCTCGCCATAGGCCAACTGACCATCCACCAGACTCCCTTATGGAATCTATAGGTTTCCGCTATAGTTTTTCTGAGCAATGGGACATAAGACTTCCTTTCTGAACTAACTGCTTATGGTTTGTATGCTCACATGAGCACAGTGTGGAATAAACAGATTACAGAGATGTTATTTAAACCACCACAGACATATAGTGTCATTTATCCATTGCTGCAGTACACACTGCCCCAAAATTTAATGGCTTAAAAAAAATAATGAAACACCTTACAGTGTTGTAGTCTGACTGGGCCCATGTAGCTGGTTGTCTGTTCCATATGGCATTGGCAGATAGTTGTCCCTGGAGCTGGGATGCCAAGGGACACAGTCACCTGCAGGACTGGGTGGCTGGCAAGGATACTGGAAGCTCGGTAAAGGCTGAGGACTGAGCCACTTCAGTTTTTTTCCTCTGTCCTTTTCAACAGGTGTGGTATCCCTAGCTTGGTGCTGGAAGTGCTTTAAGAGGAGGAAGTGGGAACTGCCAGGCAGCTTAGGACTGAGAGCCCCAGAACAGCCTTTCACCCCATTCTGTTGGTCAGAGTAGACAGGGCCCCAGCCTGGAGTCAAGGGAGGGGAAATCAGCCCCACCTCTCTAGGACAAGCAGGGAGCAAAGGTGAGCTAAGGGGAGAATGGCTGTCACAGGCTGAGAAAGGACAGGGGTGAAACTCTGAAAATCAGACTAAAGACTGGTGGGAGGAGCAAAAAGACCAGGTTATGTATGCATGAAGAAGGAAGTGGCTAAGTGGAGCACTCAGCAAAGTATATTCTGTTAGAGCCAGTAGAAGAGGATGGTTAGGCCCGAAGAGTTTCCAGTTATAAATGTGATCTCATTGTGCCCTGTCTCCACTGAACAGCTTCCTTTTGCAGGTTGGACATACTGCATGGCCCCCAGGTATATGTAGAGGCATCCACCCAGTGTCTACACTTGCTGTTCCCCAGTTCCACTGTCTGTCAGTCACTTCATTGTGCACCTTGACTTTTTCCCATACCAAGTGTTTCCATGAATTCTGTTCCTCTTGTCTCTTAGACCCCACAGAAAGTGGTTCCTGTCCTCCATACCCCCTTGGAGCTCCTTCCTCTCAGTACACCTACCAGAGCATTTAACACATATTTGTGCAAAGATGAGATGGTGGGAGAGAGGTAAGATGCAGGAATTCTTAGGAGGAGGAACCAAGATAATGGACAAGCACAATACAGTGCTGCTAGGAACAGCCAGAGAAAGAAAATAAAGGAAACTAACCATATTGGCAACTCAGAATCTAACAATTAACTGTGAAATAGTCCAAAAACCACCACTTGAAATAACAAAAATAAGCTTGTCTTTAGTAAGATATTCTGTACTTGAAAATTTTGAGAGATTTGAGATTAATACTTCCTGCCAGCTTCCAGATATTCAAAATCCTATGCTGTACTCATAGACTCATTTGTTGGCTCATTTGTATGTGGATGAGGGTGTTTGTCTGTCCCTGAAGGAGGGGGTTAAAATGCCATTCCTCTGTGTGCCATGGTTTTTAAAGAGCATTGATTGACTGTGGTGATGGCTCACAAACATCTCCTATGTCCCCTGTATTCCAGTTTGCTCTTGGAGCCCATGTGTAAGTCAGTAATGGTTTTGGAGATATAATGCATTTTCTGTGGTCTGAAGATGCTGGGTCACTGCAAAACAGCTATCGCTGCATCATTTCTGGAATGGGCTGCTGTATTTTATTGATGGATGGGAAACCAGTTGTGTGTGGCTAGCCAGCTGGCCAGGCTGCTCTGAGGAGAGGATGGGCGTTAATAAGAGCTCTGCCCAGTGCTGATTCTAGTAGTTTCTGCATCGCTTTATTCTGCCTCACTTGAAGCCTTCACTTCAAGGATTTTTCTAAACACAATCTTGCTCAAAGTGAGTAGAAATTATGGATGGCTTGTCACAATTTCTGCCTTTGGATGGAGTTAAAAGCCTTGCTGGTATCAGCAGGCAGCTTGCAGAAGGGAGGTTTGAATCCTTGTGACTTCCAGGTGGTCCCTGCCCCATGCAACAGCAGGTTTCTGCCTCAGCCTCTCTGGATTTCTGCATTCTGTAGATCCCTGGTCACAAAATTCTGCAGCAATATAATGGAAATCAGTTTTGATGAGCATATTTAAAGATGTTTTTGTTGGCTCTGAATTTTGAGAACAGCATAGCTTATTAACTATTCCTTCCACAGACTATGCAAAGCTACATTTGCACATCCCTGTGTTTTTCTTGGCACATCCCTGTGATACTTTGGCTAATGGCAGAGTCTGGGGTCCGGGATAGGGGGACAATACGTGTAGGACAACCTAGGGTGTAGTGTGCTCCAGCTTGTAGGGTCTCCTGATTATGCTAGTTACTGAGATGCCAATGGGATAGAATTTATTCACTTGCCAAGGGCCTTAGGTTTAGGGCCTTTAGTTTATTTGGGAAGTGAGACTGGGAAACACTGTTAAAGGAGAGGAAGTAAGACAGGGAGAGAAAGGAATCCAATATGAAGCATAATAAAAAGCAAACTAGTGCTGTTCCCGCTGGGGACCTCTGAGATGCCATCTCCGAGGAGTTCTGAGAAAATGAGTGTTTACCTGCCAGCCACCTTAAGTTTTAAGTTGAAAGATGCTTCCAGGGTGTCAGCTCACTGGAACATCTAGCTAGCGTTCCCCGTATATGGACCCAAGATCCTCATTGGAGGCAGCTCTCAGGGCCTTGGTCATAAGAAGGATGGTTGTTGATGTGGCCTTCCTCGCACAATCAAACTGAGCCATGCCCCCACGTTCCAGTCCTTTTCACCTTGGCATTGTTGGAGATTCAGTCTTAACTTCTGGTGGGGAGCACAGCAGCAATGGGAATGGTAGGGAAATCATCCTAGGACTCA